ACAGCTGGTAATGCCTCAATCTGACTCACTGAAGAACGCACAAGAGAAGGAGAAAGGACTTTTCAAATGGTTCCTTTTATCTGCTGTTTTAACCTGCACTGCGAAACATGAGATTCCTGAAAAATGTGATGTCTGGTATTCTGCAGAAATAGATCTATCAGGAAAATAACGGTGCTGCTTTGAGAGGACGACGGGTTGGGCTCTGCGAGGTGCGGAGTGTTTCATCCCCTGCCTGGCGAGACCCCGGAGAACATGCCCAGGTTTAACGCTCTGCAGTGCGGCGGGGCGCCGGGCATGCGGTGGCACGCAGGTAGGACACGGAGCAACTCGCACCATCGGACCTCAGAGAGACGCACAGCTATAAACCAGTGATCTGCCAGGTTTGCTGTTCAAGATGTCCTGCATTTTCTTAAAAATACATTTGTCTTTGCATAATTGCCTTCCCAAATGATATCTTTCCTTTCATTATAGATTGTTAGCCTGCCTAGAAAAAAAAAAGAATAGTGATTTAGGCAAATGAGACTATCTCTGTTTAGACTCTGAATACATCCACGTGGTCCAGGATCAGGCCTCTGGCTGCAGCAGGACCAGGTGCTGCTCAGCTGCCCGGCGCTGAGCTAACAGGGCTCTTCTGCTGCTTGGGGGAGGTGGTCAGCTTCCTTCTCACCCAGAAATGCTCTTCGGGAAAAATAGAAAGCGATTTGCTATATGCATTGGTGAAACTTCAGCTGCACTGCCCGGGGGCGTTTCAGCAGTCAGCAAGTCTTACTAAACAGGTACAAAATGAGCACGGCCACTCGGGTTTCCAGGCATTTTAGGCATTGTGCTGCAGAAGAAATTTCAGCTTTGCTTTTCACCCCCTTACGAGCAGAGCTGACCTGAAAAATCACATCCGGACTTACAGCCTGGCCAGGTTGGCAGGCACAGACGGCTCTGCAGCGGCCACCCCAGCTCGCTGTGAAGCCGATCCTGGCTCTGCCAGAAAGTGGGGGGGGGGGGGGGGCGGGGGGGGACAGCGGAGCCAATGGCGCCTCAAAAGCCCAGACCGAAAATTGGCAGTAGGTCTCCAGAGAAGCTCAGTGCTGCTAATTTGGGGTGAGAAACGTCACGTCTTTCTGCCATAATAAATCCTGGTTGCGGAACTGCTGTTTGCCTGATCTGCGTGTCCTTGTCTTCCTACTGCCAAGAGTCTTAAGCCAGGTACTAGATACAGCCCGAAAAGGCAGAGTGACAAGCAGGGATGCAGGGGCAAGGTGAAGAGAGGTCTGTCAGTGCGATGTTACTAATATTTTACATATCTATTTGAAAATACATTAAAAAATCAAACATATCTAAGCCATCAGTCACTTCAGAAAATACTGAAATTAAGCCTTTGTTCTAAAAGTAGACAGTAGGACACCATCCCAGGATGGCAGGACTTTAGGAAGTGCACTAGAGAGGTCAGAAGAGGTAAATCTGTTTTCAGGTTGCCTTGAAACAATGACTTAAGTGCCCTTGAATGACCTGAGGAACGCGCTAATGTGAATGCGCTTGCTGGCGTCTTCTGGAAAATGCAGAGCCGTGACCTGGGCAAACAGAACTCTAAAATAAAAGGCGGTGAAGTATACATACAGATTGTAACAGACTTCAAACCAAGGTAAAGGTATGCATCAGAAAAAAAGATTGCCAAAAGCTGGACTTCACAGGATTCGGTGGACAGAGGTCCAGGCACAGGGATGTTTAGTTCTTGGGAATGAACGTGGTCGGTTGTATAAGACCAACCGTCACCCAAGATAAGGAGCTGGCATCAGATGAAGACCTTGATCCAGGTTCTCTGTGCAGCACTGATAGTCGGGAGCAGCAGCTGACTCCCTCCTGACATCAGCAGCACGGCGATCAATGCCAGGTAGTTTGTAAATTCGGTTCCACAAATCACTGTTACGAGAACACCGGGATGTTCAATGGAAAACAGCCACGAGAATCAGGAAGACCTTTTTTAAAAAGTTCATATTAGTAAGAAGCTTGTTTTCCACACCTGATTCCGTCTCAGAGCATTTTTCATACAATGTTCAACACTGAAACATAAGTTCAAAAACCGCACCAGGTTTGTATGTTCAGTCTTACATTCTGTTAGAAACAGCTGGAGAAAAAAAATACTTCATATTAGGAAAAAAAGAAATGAATCAAATACTTTATCACCAAGCCATTAAGATAATCTGGAAAGTTGTTGTTTTGGAACCATTAGAACGATCATGAAAATCTGCTGATAAAAGTGCACGGATGTAAGCCTTTAAAGACGGGTTAAATCACTAACCAGCGACTTCATCAGGCCTTTGTGTTGGTTAGATTGTTGCCTCACGTAGCAGCCCTGGCAAAGACAGCCAGTTCCAGGCACCACAGTTCACACACAGGTAAAATAAATAAGTGGTTAAATAAGTGTGTTCCGTACGCTCCTGCATGTCCCTAGTACATCTCTTGGATACTGGCGGCCTAGAAGCAAGCTTCACAACAGAGAGACACCAGTAAGCACATTCCAGCTCGCAGAACTGCTGCAGGTTAATTGACTCTTACAAATCAGGTACACAGGGAGAGGAAAATACTGTCCCAAGGCAGACGTGCCAATGTGACAAAATTAATGTGGAGCTTCTCATCTCCCTAATGGCTTCGGTAGTGACGCCCCTGAGAGAGAAAAGGTTTCAGAGGAGAGATGGTAACTCGGGTAGCAATCACTCACAGATGAAAATGCAAGGGTGGCCTGAGGGCCCAGCTCCCAGCAGGCAGTAGGAATTTGCCATGGCGATTTCTTTGTTCCCAGCCGCTCCCATTTTTACCCAGCAACCTGTTTAATATTAACCTCTGCTTCTGAGGCCCAGAGGGGGAAGTACCAGCAGCAAGCTCTCTGGGTCACTGCAGGCAGACAGGGCTGGAAAGTCAGCTAACGCCGCAGCAAGCAGAGGAGCGAGTTACACACAGCCCCCACAGGTTCCTACAAAAACTGTCTCCAGCAGTTCTTCAGGGCTTTCTCATCTCCCAGTCACCTACGCACTGTGGTCTTGTCACCCTAGCCCCTATACCATCATCAGCCATATATCCCATTGCAGAAACATGCCGGGAACAGCACGGCCAGCTTGCCTCTCAGGGGCTAGCCGGCATCAAACTGGCCCATTCTCTTCCTGGTTTAGCAAGCCTCAGTGGCTTTTCTAGTAGAGCAAAAGGTGGGGTTAGCCCTTGAAAATTGCTCATATAAGCTCTTATTTCCATTGTAATAAACCCAGAAGACAAATCCAAAACCTGGCATGTGCACAAGACTACAGGAGTGCCTTCAGAGAGCTGCTTGAGCAGCCCTGTTTCGTCTCGGAGACCTACAAGTTCATATTAGAAAGCTGAGCTAATTTCTAGGAAAACCAACAGGCTGGTTTTCCACTTGGTTTGAGGAGAAAAATGGCAAATCAAGCAACACACTCATACCCCCGACTTACCTGATGCGGCAGACTGAACTGGGTGCCCACTGTGTAAGATCATCTTGAGATGATCTTGATCTTTAGAGTTGGAAACTGAGTGACCAGCTTGATTACTAAATCATTTTGTCCCGTAGCATCCCAAAAATGTGATAGCCCAGATAGGTTTCTACAGTACTGCAGTCTTTCCAAATAGATTTAACTGAAAGTAAAATGATGTCATTATAATTTGTGTATATTTTTCAAAAATATAATTTTACCTACACATTTTATTTTCAATACATCTAGCTACCCATCCCCCCAGGAAGAAGATACCATTCACAAAATCTTCAGCATCCATTTATGGATGCAATCTGTCATTCCTGCAATTAAATTCCCTGCAGACCACATAGCAGAAGTCAGAGGCGGATTGTCTTTGTAACATAGCAAGCTGTGTTTGAAGTTTCCTTGAATGTATTTAGCTGAAAAGATTGGAAGGATGTAGAAAATAAGACGACATTCATTCCTGCCGAGTTAAACAAAAGTTGCAGGAAACTTCTTTTGAAAGGGACGAGTGTAAAGTGCAAATACTGCTTTAACAACCTGTGTTTTACAATTTTCTGATTAATGGACTGCAGTAAAATCAGTTCCCTGACACTGATTACTTCAGCAATACATTAGCAATTACTTTAGCTAGTTTTATTTTATGCATGTAAGCTGCATAGAATCATGTCTGTCTTTTATCCCATAAATCAATTCCTTCATGGGTAGCCATTTAACTTTGAACTCTGATATTTTCTGCAGAATAAAAAATCAAAACATGCATAATATCAGTGCATTAAATCTCAGAGTATCATGGCTTTTTTATGAGGGAACAAAGATTTATTAATTTCAAAGTCCTCGTTCAAAGCCACGGTAGAACTGCTAGAATATGTTGTCTTTATAGTAGGAGACTACGATAGTTTTTCTCGGTGAACGCAGCTTGTGTTCTCGGTGTAGTCAGGTGTCTGCATTGTACAGAGTATCACCACAACTGTCTTTAGACCTACAGCTTTCCTCGCTGGGGGGGCCGAGACCTCAGTAGAGCTCTTACCCTGAGAAGAAATAAATTAACAGCTGCATTTGGCCAAGTTGTGGGGGAGGCATGAATGTAATTCCTCCGCTTTTTAGGAATAAGTACAAAGGGGCTCAGTCTGCAGAGGCATTGTTTTAGTGAGCAATGAATTCACCAATTTAAAAAAAAAGTAACAGCCAAGGAATCTGAAAAATGAGAAAAGTCTTTTAAAGAGTGAGGGGAAAATCTGGCACCGTGTGAGCAAAAATAATCACAGAGGCTTTCCTCGCCCCGTCGTGAAATGGCCCCCTGCACCCCGGGCAGCAAGCGGTTGCAGAGCTCAGCTGTGCCTGTGGTTAATAATAAATGGGCTCTCTCAGCCAGGCGCGCCGGCCTGCGCACCCCCATGCTGCTGCCGGCCCCCCGCTCCTCCCGCCTTCTGCCAGGGCTGCCCAGGCACCGCTCCAGTACCCACCCAGCCTCCCTACGTGAGACGGACGCCCAGAGGTAAGAGACACGCCAGGCCATTGCTCCATGAGGTCGGATGCGCTGAATCGATCACGAGGGGAGGCGAGCAGGGACGGTTTGGAGGAGGGAGGAAAGCCAGTCTATGCTAGAGCTGCCTGAAACTTGCGCTAGAAATCTGCAAAGTTTTGTTACAAGGCGAAAGGTCGGACGGGTCTCACTGCAAAACTTGCCAAGCTTCAAAAATCTTTCAGCCAGCTCAGGCTGAGTGTTGGCTGAGTTTCCAGCGAACATCAGCTAATTCGTATTGGGTTTCAGGTGGTGACCAGCTGGTTTTTATCCACCGGCCAGCACAGCTTGGGCACTCCTGGCTGTTGTGCTTCAGAGTTTGGGGGGTTGTTAAAATTCAGAGCACAACTCGAGCAGCTCAACCAAACCTTGGCGTAACCTTGTTGGCTTAATGAATTTATTCCAAAGCTGACTTTGCCCCGGAGAGCGAGGGGTGTGTACACACACACACACACACACACACACAGCGATACCAGAACATTTGCATGAACTGCTCAGGCTGCTGGCTGCTAAGCTTAGCACTGCATAGGCAGAGGTTGTAAGCATGAAGTGAGAGCTTTTGGCACTTTTGTGTCATGATATGATTCCATAAACTTAATTAAGATTTTTGTCTTTTAAAGGATTTGGAAAGTGGAAAAAAGTCTTACAGTTTCGGTCAGGTGTGTATTGCTTCTTATGACAATGTCTGTCTTGATGGCTTGAGATGTCTAGCAGACCCGGTCCCTCTTTTCCTATGTTACACAGCCCAAGCTGTCCTGTATAGCTGAAGTCTTTAGATTTGGGCAAAAAAACCCTCTTCGTGGGTGTGAGATGGTTCTGTACAGCTGTCATGTCACACACTGTACTTACTGAGACCAGAGCCATGTTCTGCTAAATGTAACATGAACACAGTACTGTATTCTAATTAATTTACCATCTAAATTAACAATAGGTACAAAGGACTGAAGAAAGGAATCCTTTCCTCCTGGTGAAGGGGTGGGGAATAGAAAGGCTGGAGGGATATGGCCAAATGCCCAGGGAAAATATGTGAAGCAACCAGGCATTGAGTGAAACTGTCCTGAGGCCCAGACCAGACCAGACCAGACCAGACCAGTCTTTTAACCTTTACAACTCTCTCCCCCTCTTTCTCTGTTTGGAAAAGAATTTAATTAAAGTGAATAGGAGTTGCTAAGAGACCAGAGGAGTTCTGGAGTTTGTTGCCGGGGCTGAATTGCCACTTTGCTTCCAAGGAGCTGCACTAAGAAGGATGATGTAACGTGAGCCTACATAAAGCACTCTCGTCTCCAGGGAAAGCTGCTCTTTCCTTCTTGTCGTTACAGTCTGGTTTACCAGTTCTCAGCTCCTTTCTTTATTTTACTGAACTGCCTTTTTCCTCCTAGACACCGGGAAAAACCAGGCTCATCTCTTTATAGCATTCCTCTGCCTGCATCTGCCTTGTAGATTTCTCCTTGTGATCTTTCAGGTTGGAGGTGGCAGTGGCTGAGCCTGCAATTTGTCATGAGCAAGTAGCTTTGGAAATTAAAAGGTTGTCTACTTCTAAACTCTCTCTAGTTCATTACTCCTCATCCTTTCCTCTGCCCCACCAGGGTTTCAGCCCAGCATTGACAGTGGGCCAGGTGAACTCTTCCAACTCCATTTCTGCAGTTTAACATTTTGCTTTGACACCCTGGCTCATGCTTGAAACACCAGGAGTCTCCAGGCAATCTGCTGGGCAAGTGTTGTTTACCTTCCAAGATCAAGAGATGATATGTTTAGCTTCACACGGTCACATCATTGCTAAATTACTTCTTTCATTTTTACCTGACTTTTGTTAACTCAGGACCATCCATACGCGCAAGATGATTAGGAAGATAACCTATAGCCTGGGAAGACATGTGTGCACTGCGGCATGTGGGACCACCCAGGTGAGAAGATTTCTGCATGGTGAGTAGTGTATTCTGAAACAGTTCCTGTGTGGAAAACATTATCCTCATCTGAACACAGCAGGGGCTTTGCTGGCAGTGTTCTGGGAGCACAGCAAAGAGCAACAATAGTCTTGATGCACAATAGTCTTACAATATATTGAGTTACTATGGTATCCCTGGTGTTTCCACTCTTTTAAAACATATTCTTCGGGCACAGTTGCAGGGCTCAGTTCATTCACAGTAATGTTAATTTAAAGTAATGTTACTGGAGCCAATGACAACACAGCTGCAAAAATGGTGGCAGAGGAATACTCAGTGATGATGAGGAGGATTATAATTCATATTAACAGTAGAGATATTTTGCAAATATTTCACTTACGTAAAACACAGCTTTAGTCTTCATGAAGTTATTTGTGAATTCACCCCAAAGAACAGCTGAAGAGGGGGATAAATTTATTGTGATGATGACAATTTGCCTTTTATAAAGCAGCTCAGTAGTTACTGCAAATACGCACGCAAATAATTCACTTTTCTGTGTTTTTCCCCAGGTGCTTATGTCAGGATTCAGCCCTCCGTACAGGAAGCCCTGATAGAGGGGAGACCAGTTGTAGCCTTGGAAAGCACCATCATTACACATGGCATGGCCTATCCTCAGAATCTGAGGTGGTGGATTTTGATGTTCCTTGTTCAACAAAGTTGTAAGAACGTGGCATATAACTGGTGGATCAGTATCAGTATTCTTGGTCAAGCCAAACCCCTTGTAAGAGCAAATGGAAATGTCAGGTTGCTAGGCATGCAGAATATGAGCTCCGGTGTAAAACAATTGTATTTGGACTTTTAAGGACACATGTGGGGTACCTATTTACCTCCTTATCCAACACCTTAAATTTCTGGCTTCCTTTAAAATATGGCAGCAGATAATGTCACCACTTGCTCTAAGACAGAGCTACCACCCTTTTTGGCTGCATAGTTTGTACAGACATTGAAAACACTCTGCAGTTTCTTTTGGTATATCTTTTGTAATGCAAAAAGGATTGGAACACAACAGTGAAATCTGTTCTTTAGTGCCACTCAGAGCAGCTACTGAGAGAGCTGCTGGTCCCTCTTGCTCCCTTCTGTACCCTGCTTAGAAACCCCCCCACCTCTACCCTTTATTTATTGATGTTCAGTAGACTTGTGTTTCATTGAGCTACAGTGCCAGAAATCACTGCACTCTCCCCTCCATCCTTGCTTCCAGAAAGCACAGGAAGCTTTCAGTATTGATTTTCCATCTTGCTTTTTACCTGGCCATTCTTCTGCTTGACATTCTGTCTTAGAATGAAGCTCTAAAAACTCGGTTTTGGGGAGGAGGTAGTTTCAGTAGTTAAAGATTGCCTAGCGTATGTACAGATAGCTCAGAAAGGGAGAAGAAGCTGCTCTTAAAAAGGATAGTGTATGAATGATCAAGAATAAAATCTGTGAAGCTTAGAAAGACCTAGTCTGCAGCCCTAGAGTATCCTCAGGCTGCAGCTTTTTGGCACTGTTGTTACTCTATATCTAACTGCCTGTATTGTGAAAAATATACCCAGTCATTTGAGCAGGGTTTTTGAATTAACCTGGGGTTTCTGTGAAGGCCTATGATTTCAGAGAAATAACAGGCAATAGATACAGAAAGGTCCTATTTTGAGAAGACCCCTCTTTTCAGTAGTCTATTGCACAACCAGATTTGCCTGTAAATCAAGTGATTTTTCTCAAAAATGAAGCACAGAGCTCAGACATTGCTGTCCTGAAAATCAGAGCTCTGCACTTCTGCAAATTCAAGTGCAAAGACTTCTGCCATTAGGAAGATAGAAAAGAGGAACTGGACTTAGCTGAAACCATAAGAACTGTATAAAACTGGAAACTGGGAATGGTGGCCATCAAACATGGCAGTTTTCTTGTCTGATCGTTTGCCTCACTAATTTTGTGATTGTTGTCTTGTTTATCTTATTGTAGTATGGCCAGAGAGGTGGAAGAAATTGTAACAACAAATGGAGCAGTGCCAGCCACTGTAGGTATTTTAAGGGGTCGAATCCATGTGGGACTCACAGATGAGGAACTTGAGTTCTTGGCAAGCAGTAAAAATGTAGTTAAAGTGTCTCGGAGAGATCTTCCTTTCATCCTCAGCCAGGTATGGTATGCAGACTGTCTGTTGTGGTGTTTTCTATACAGCAATAGTATAGTGCTCTCCAGCTTCAAGCCAGGTGGCTTTTGAACCTCTTGAAAATATCACATAAAGTGGTATCTTAACGGTAAGTTCAAACACGGTCCTATCTAGGTCAAAATACAACAGAGTAAGGGAATAGCAGCCATGAAATAGGGCTCCTGAAAAGGCATTCTGGGTTGGCTGGCAAGCCATGAGCACTTGGCTAAGAATATTCGTATTGGCATGATAAGGCATCATCACATTACATGTAAGCTATGTGACACGCAGGCCATCCCGAGCTTAAGGTGACAGCTTAAGGTGACACTAACTGCCTGTGAAGCCGTCTGGTTGGAAAGCCCTGGAGAACAAAGGCCTTTGCTATCATCAGGGCAAGAACGGCTTACGTAGCAGGGACGATGATTCCTCTGCGTTTTTGCCTAATAGAATATTTGTATCAGAATTCCACTTTTCAGCTGGTGACAGCAGGCTGTTGTGACATTGCTGTGTGTCAGACCACAACCATAGCTGCCCGCATGCAGTATTCTCCGTGTCACCCTGGGTGCTGACTGTGACTGGTTGTCCCCTGACAGGGCTTGTCCGGTGGCACTACCGTGTCTGGAACAATGATTGCCGCACACAAAGCAGGAATCCCCGTGTTTGTGACGGGCGGCATAGGAGGTGTCCATCGGGGAGGAGAGAACAGTAAGAAAATCAATACATTCTATTTTTCTCTATGTTGCTACTGTTTTATTTAATTCCATCTTTTTCCTTTTTCCCAGTCTGTCCTGCAGTAACTGTCTGTTCAGAAGAGTAAAGTTATCATTCTTCTTGACCAGACTATGGTTGTTTTCTCCACGGTGCCTCCTTTCCAGAAGCTTCAAAATATTCCTCTTGAGCACTGGCCAGTTGTTAAGAGGGGAGTTTCTCTTTATCCTTTGCTTACCCGGGGTTATATGGGTATTGTTTGCTGGTGCAACAGGAGCTGACTGACCTCTCCCACTTTGTAATGGCTGGATAACCTGATACTGGCTACCGAGCACATTGTTGTTATCTACTGTCTCTCAGCTGAGGAGAAGGAGAGTCTCGCCACAAAAGAGCCTTAGGCCCTGGTCTGTGTTAGAGGTGCGTGCTCCTCTCTGGAAAATGGCCCAGCCTTGGCAGTGTAGTTTGTGACCTTTAAGTACATTCTCTCTTCTTAGCCATATATATTTCTAGCATAGCGTAAGTGCACTGCCCTGCTGGCTGCCATTCCTTTCAGAGGTGATGCGAATTCCAGACCAGGGAGTTTCCTGAGGTCAGCAAAGCTCCTATGGCACTTTTTTTGCCAGTGATGTCAATACCAAAATCAAAATCTACTTAAATTATATTCCATCTCCTTGAACTTTGTCCTTGCTGTATAACACCTTCTTTCTTTTCTACCAAATTTTTGCATGCTGTTTATCGATGTGGTCGAAGAGCCGAGAGATACAGTGCAAGGCTGCACCTCTGCCCTAAGCCGCGTGACTTCTTTTGTCAATATCTCTTTCAATCTCAACGACTAAAGGCATGATCTAAACCTGTATATTTGTTTGTGGATCTAAGTGGTTACAAAAGCAGGCAGTGGCATCCCAGGCAGCTATGGCTTTTTAAGAGGGCAGATCACATCAGCTTGGAGTACAACACAATCACCGACACAATGGCTGCTTGTCCCTTGACAGCTCTGGATGTGAGTGCTGACTTGACAGAGCTAGGACGAACTCCAGTTGCTGTTGTATCTGCAGGAGTCAAATCTATCCTTGATATTGGCAGGACACTGGAATATCTGGTAGGTAGCATGGGCTGCTGAGCCTGAAAGCAGATAATGTACTTTGTGTACAGAATGCTCAGTGGTGTTGGGGTAGGTACTAAGCCTAAGATTTTTAGAAATTACTATTGAGAGGACGTGAAGCCATATTTACAGTTCTTTAGTCCTGGGGCTATACAAGCACTGGGCTGCTCCCTAACATAAATCTATCCATGCCCAAGGGGCAGTTGCAGCAGCTGTTCCAACTGAGGCCAAAGGCACCCCTAGCTATGCCCTCTTTCTCTGGCCTTACACTTGCTTTTCTGGGACAATGCTCCAGAATTGATGGGTCAGGCAAGCTAGATCCATCAAACGCTAAAATAAAATCAGAATTAAAATGGGAATCAAGACGATTTTTCAGTAGAGTCACTTTTTAAGGTTTGGTAAGTTGGAAACCACCAGGGCCGGCACTTCAGGTGACAGCCAACACCAATACTTCTAAATCACAAACAGAACTCATTTATATTCCTGTCAGCTCATGACATATCTTCAGATCACAGGTTGTTACCTTGGCCTCAGTATTGCACTAATGACAGCTACATGGCTTTTGATCAGCTCCGAGCACAAGCAAAGGACGTGCATGTCTCGGGTGTCTCAGTAAGCCAGATTCTTTCTAACCAGTTACCATGTCTGGCTCTTTGCTTTGAAAAATGGTGATAGAACAGAATAGAATGGGATGTATAAAAATAACCAAACCCTGTGCTAAAGAAAGGCAGTTTCTAGCTGGGTAGAAGGAAGAAGTCCCATTCTTTGGTGGGTCCCCTTTCCCTCCACTGATTACCTGCTTGTCTCGTCTCCACTGCTGCAGGAGACTCAGGGAGTCTGTGTGGCTGCCTTTGGAGAGTCAAGGGAGTTCCCAGCCTTCTTCTCACGCCAGAGTGGCTTCCAGGCACCATATCACGTCCGGGATGAAGAGGAGGCAGCTGAACTCATTGGTGTGTTTCAGAAGGGAAAGGCTCATGTAGGGCCCTGGAAAAGAGGGACACAAAAATCACCTTGGATGAGGCACCTTCTTTTTTAACTTTGGAGAAGAGTTTGTCCCAAAAAACAAGCCCCCACCTCCCCCCTTCCTGCTTCAGTGCTTTGAAAATAAAGAAGCAGGGAAGTTCAGTCTTTACAGCAAGTTTTTTAGCTAGCTGCAGCCACCTTGGCATGCTCATACATGTTCTGTTCACACTGGTGAAGTGGAGGGAACACGTATGTTAATGTTTTTACAAAAACAGTTTCTGGGCCTTCAGAAGTGGAATCAGTTTTCTTTTAAAAAAAATATTCTTTGCCCCTTTTATTTTACAGACAGACTCAAAATAAATAGGCAGATGTAAATTGATTGGTAGCTGGAAAAGACCCTGTCCTTGGGTCAGCTAAGCTCCAGCACTGTGGGTTCCTTCACCCCATGCCCACTCTTCTCTATCCTTTTCCTTCAGCATTTAATTTATCCAAGGAGAACTGCTAACAATCTGCCTGTCCTCTCCCAGCCAGCGCTTTGGGGCTAGGCCTGAGCAGCGGGGTGCTGATAGCAGTGCCCTGTCCCCAGGAGCGAGCTGCCTCAGGCCAGGTCATCGAAGAGGCCATCCAGCAAGCTCTCAGCGAAGCCAGGTGAGAAGCAACCTAAGCCCTATCCTTTGCTCACCCGGTGGTCTTGGGGAAGTAAATGACTTCAGGGACACTGCTGCAGGGGCTGTAGCACAGCTTAACCTTGGGCACAGGTGAGCCCACAACATGCTTTCTACCATAGTTTTATCTAACCTGAAGCTTGTTCACAGGACATTTTATGGTATGTGGTTATGGAGATGAAGTATCTGCTAGCAGCAGTGCTTCTCCTCTGATGCTGTTTCAGCTCAGTCATAGAATCATTTAGGTTGGAAAAGACCTTTAAGATCATCAAGTCCAACCATTAACCTAGCACTGCCAAGTCCACCACTAAACCATCTCCCTAAGATACACATCTTTTAAATACCTCCAGGGATGGTGACTCAACCACTTCCCTGGG